TGTATGGCACGCCATTTGGGACATTTTTGATTAATATTTTATTTTTGTCATTTTCATTGTATTTTTGAGCAGAGAAACATTTTATGAATGCTTTTATGATGTTTTGATCATATTGTAAAGGTTGTTTATTTTTTCTTTTCAGTTTTTACCTTATACTAGAATGATGCACTACGCACCCATTTGATGTCTTTTCGGTGCCTTATATGAATAAAGTTGTGCAATTAAAATTCTTGTTGGTTATCTGGTTGTTTATCCTAGAAACAGCACATTAAAAACACGAGACAATGGATTCACAACATGGGAATGGTGATAACACGGATCCAAGAAAACGCACTCTCACGGAACGTGGACTTGACCTTTATAGAGCTAACGTGAATACTCATTCAAAGAAGATTGAACTCGTACAAACTGAAGTAGAACTTTGCCTTGAGAGATTCTCTACGACAAAACAAGAAGACACCAACACATTGATAGAATTAAAGAAAACTTTAAATTTGTGTTACTGTAAATACAGTCTTTATTCAGATGAATATATGAAATTTCTTAAGAACACTAAGACAGAGGAAAGTCTCCAAGTGTATGAGGAGCACAAAATCGAGGATTCTAAGTACAAACACATTTTAGAACGAGCACTTCAACAAATAAAAGTGTCAGACAAGGATGAAAAAGCATCTAAATTATCACATAGATCCCAAGCACAGTCTAGAACTTCTTCAAACTCAAGCTCTGTAGCAATCAGAAAGCGTGCAAAGGCAGAAGCAGCCCAGGCTAAGCTTGAATTCGCCATGAAAGAGGCAGATTTACAGAAACAGAAGGCACACATAGAAGAACAAGAAAAAGTTTCAAATGCAAAGACATTTACTAAAAAGGCTGAGTTGGAAGCTGAATTAGAATTGCTGAATTATAAGAAGGAAGCGGCTGCCGCAACTGCAGAGGCAGATGCGCTTGAATATGACCAAAATGTTTGCGGTAGTAAAAAATCTGATCTTCTATCAAAAACTGTTTATGAACGAACTAATCAATATGTAGAACAGCAGGTACTTCAAGTAAAAGATGTAAAATTACCGCCAGACGATAATATTGTACCATGTGATCCATTTGCAAATCAGACATCAGGCGATGCAGTCCTTGAACTTTCACTTATGCCAACACCAAAACCGTCTCGCCCAAAATATGATGTGCCAAGTGTAAGTGCCGGTTGTAATGATAACGATATAAATATACAAGTTCAAGAACATGCATTGAATCCTAATGCACCTCAATTTCAACCTGACATACGCACACATCAGAACGCACCTCAAATTCAACCTGACATAAGCACACATCAGAACGCACCTCAATTTCATCCTGATATAAGCACACATCAGAATATTGCTACAGATCTCACACGATTCCTTCTAAAGAAAGATTTGCTATTATCAAGATTAACAACTTACAGTGATAGACCTGAAATGTACGCTGTATGGAAGGCTAGTTTCAAAAACATATTAAGTGAACTTTCTGTTACAGCGATGGAAGAGTTAGATCTTATGGTGAAATGGTTAGGTCCTGAATCTACACGGCATGCAAACAGTATTAGAGCATCAAATATTCATGATCCAACGAAAGGATTACAACGTTTATGGGAACGCTTAGATGAACGTTACGGTTCTCCAGAGTCAGTTGAAGCGTCATTAATGGCCAAATTAAATAATTTCCCGAAATTGACACAGAAAGACAACAAAAAGCTATATGAGTTAGTAGACATTCTTTCTGAAATAGAATCCATTAAGGAAGATGTCAAATATAATTCACTGTTAGCGTACTTTGACTCCTCGTCCGGAGTTCTCCCTATACTGAATAAACTTCCGCACAACATACAAGAAAAATGGACAAATAGAGCATCTCAGTATAAAAGAGAAAAACAAGTTACCTTTCCACCATTTACATTTTTTGTGAAGTTTATTCGAGAATTGAGCCAGATAAGAAACGACCCCAGTTTCGCGTATGATCAGACAAACCAACCTAAAAAAGCATACACAGCTGCCAAACCACCAGCATATAAGACAGCTATTTCAGTTCACAAAACGGATGTTTCTAGTGACCTTGATTTACAAAAACAATGTTTGTTACATAAAACCGGACATTCGTTAAACCAGTGTAGAGCATTCAAAGCAAAACCTTTCCAAGTACGTAAAAAGTTTATCAATGATCATAAAATTTGTTACGGTTGTTGTGAATCGACAAAACATGTGAAACGAACATGTACTAACGCAATTAGATGTAGTGAATGTGGCAGTGACCGCCATCCTGGAGCATTACATATTAATCGCTCTAACAACTCGATAGATCAGAATAATAATAAATCAAGTTCGCCTGTCCACGGCGGGGAGGAAAAAATAGATATTCAAAATGACAATGTTGCAACTAAGTGCACAGAAATTTGTGGGACATCATTCCATGGAAGGTCATGCGCAAAAATCTTGCCAGTGAGAGTTTTTAGACCTGGACAACATGGACGATATGATAACTTGAAACTTTACATCATATTAGACGACCAGAGTAATCGCTCATTGGCATCACCATTATTTTTCGACACATTTCGAGTGCATGGTACATTGGAAGAATATATGTTATCTTCATGCTCAGGTCGTGTGAAAATGTCAGGACGTAGAGCCAGTGGCTTTGTAGTTGAGTCATTAGATGGACAGGTTCAGTTGGAATTACCAACGTTAATAGAATGTAGTGATCTACCGCATAACAGAGAGGAAATACCCACACCGGATATTGCTATCAGACATAACCATTTGAAAGAAATGGCAGATCACTTGTCTCCACTGGACCCAGATTGTGAAATTATGCTTCTCATTGGAAGAGACATGACAGAAGCACATCATGTTTTAGAACAAATTGTTGGACCTCGAAATGCTCCGTTCGCACAAAAACTTCCTCTAGGCTGGGTAGTTATAGGAAACATGTGCTTAGGCGGAATACATGCTCCTGATGATGTTACTGCATGTCTGACACATCTTGCACCAGATGGTCGAGCTTCGATCCTTCAACCTTGTCCTTACAATTATGACGTTCATGAGTGTTTTGGCTGCGGTAGTGTTAACTTTGGAGTCTCTCAAAAGAAAGACGATACAATTACAAGTGCAATTTTCGAACGCACTGTACAAGACGACAAACCTGGATTATCTATAGAAGATAGACAATTTATGACATTAATGCAAACTAATCTCCAGAAGGACAAAGATGGTAACTGGTGTTCACCTTTACCTTTCCGCATTCCGAGACGACGTCTTCCAAACAACAGAGCAATGGTTTTGCATCGTGCTAAGTCATTGGAGAAAAGTTTTCATAGAGATACAGTAAAACAAGAACACATATTTACATTTATGCAGAAACTTTTTGACTGTAAACACGCAGAGTTGGCTCCTCCTCTAAAGAATAATGAAGAATGTTGGTACCTACCTGTGTTCGGGGTCTACCATCCCAAAAAACCAGACAAAGTAAGGTGTGTGTTCGACTCCTCTGCGAGTTATGACAATGTTTCTCTAAACAGTGTGATGCTCAGGGGACCTGATCTTACAAATAATTTGGTTGGCGTTCTCGTACGGTTTCGAAAAGAAATAGTTGGTATTATGGCAGACATTCAACAGATGTTTTATTCATTCTCTGTAATCGAGGAACATAGGAATTATTTGCGATTTCTGTGGTATGAGGACAACAACATCAAGAAAAAGAAAAAAATTAACAGAGTATCGCATGAGAGTACATGCATTTGGTAACAGTCCCTCTCCGGCTATTGCGACATATGCACTCCAGAAAACAGCAGAGATTGCTCAGCAAACTTACGGAAAGGATGTTCAGGAATTTGTCTGCCGAAATTTCTATGTAGATGATGCCCTCACATCAGTCTGCAATGAGAGTGAAGCAATTGACTTGTTAAATAGAACTACAGAAGCTCTCAAGACATTTGGAAACTTGCGTCTACATAAGTTCTCGTCAAACAGCAGCGTAGTAAGGGCTGCGCTAAATCCTAATGATCTTGCTGAAAACTTGGAGAAGCGAAATCTGGATACGGACGATTTGCCATTACAAAGAAGCCTTGGTCTGTATTGGGACTTGCAGTCGGACACCTTTACTTTCAGAGTTTCGGACAGTGAAAAAGTGTTTACACGTAGGGGCGTCCTCTCAACGATCAATAGTATTTTTGATCCCCTTGGTTTTATTTCGCCAGTGACTATTCAGGGTAAAATTGTACTCCGGAAGCTCATGACTGAATCAGTGAATTGGGATGAGCCGCTATCAGAAGAGTATCGACAAGAATGGGAAACATGGCGAACTTCTTTGACACACCTTGAAAATGTGAAGATCGGTAGAATGTATACGCCAATTTCAATTCGAGATGCTTCAAAAGTTGAATTGCATACATTTTCAGATGCATCTGAGAAAGCGATTGCAGCAGTGTCATATTTAAAAGTTTTTCACCATGATGGATCTTCCCATCTAGGTTTTGTGTTAGGAAAAACGAAGTTAGCGCCGATGAGTGGAAATACTATACCTAGATTGGAGTTATGCGCCGCTGTTATGGCAGTTGAAATAGCAGAATTCGTAACTGACAATTTAGACCGAAAGATTGACACCGTTAAGTTCTACAGTGACAGTAGAGTTGTATTAGGTTACGTAACAAACCAAACGAGAAGATTTTATACGTATGTGGCTAATCGAGTACAGCGTATCCGAAAGAGCTCCTCTCCGGAGCAATGGAATTTTGTACCGACACAACTAAATCCAGCTGATCAAGGTACAAGGAGTATTGCGGCAGATAAAGTAAACAGTAGTCTGTGGATTCTCGGTCCCGAAGAATTCATCTCTAAATGTGAACATCAAGCAGCATGTTCAGAATCTTTATATCCGTTGATTGAGCCTACTGATGACAAGGAATTGCGTCCATTGCAGCGGGTTAATGTTTTAAAAACATCTGTTGATTTTCAAACGGCTCTTGGATCGAGCGCTTTGAGAGATTTTCAGAGTGGATAAGATTAGTAGAATCTATATCATTCTTAAAAAAAGTTGCCAAGTATCGTACGGCAGCAGTGACTGGGGACACAAGGTCTAAGTCTGTTGAAACTTATAAAGAAGCTGAATTATTTATTATTAAAGTGGTTCAAAATGAACTTTACCAAACAGAAATTGATAACATTAGACAAAATTTGCGTCTTCCCAAGAATAGTACTCTTGTGTCATTAAATCCATTTCTTGATTCACGTGGTGTTCTGTGTGTCGGCGGAAGATTGAACAAGGCAAATATTGAACTGCATGAGAAAAACCCTATCATTATCCCGGGTAAGCATTACATTGCCAAGTTACTCATACGGCATTTTCATGAAACTGTTTGTGACCAGGGACGCCATTTTACCGAAGGAGCCATCAGAAAGGCAGGTTTTTGGATAACCGGAGTGAAGCGTTTAATACAGTCATTCATTCATTCTTGCGTTAAATGTAGAAAATTGAGAGGTGTAGTTGAATTTCAGAAGATGTCTGATCTACCATCCGATCGACTTGAACCTGGTCCATCTTTTTCTAATGTTGGCATTGATGCCTTTGGTCCTTGGAATGTAGTGACTCGAAAAACCCGTGGAGGCAGCGCACAGTCTAAGCGTTGGGCAATATTATTTACTTGTCTCACAACTCGTGCAGTACAGATTGAATTGGTAGAAGAGATGTCGTCCTCGGCATTCATAAATGCTCTTAGAAGATTTGTGGCGATTCGTGGGAAAGTGAAAGTGTTTAGATCAGATCGCGGAACAAACTTTGTTGGTTCAACAGAAAATTTGAAAATTGATACAGTCAACGTAGAAAATGGTCCAGTAAGAGACTTCATATATAAATCAGGCACAGTGTGGATTTTTAACCCTCCTCACTCCTCTCACATGGGAGGAGTGTAGGAGAGGATGATAGGAATTTCTCGCCGGATATTAGACTCTATGCTGTCATCAGTGAATGGAAAAAATCTTACGCATGATGTTCTTGTGACCTTTATGGCAGAAGTTTCTGCGATTATAAATAACAGACCTCTTGTTCCGATATCTTCAGACCCCGACTCACCGATTATTCTGTCTCCATCAACACTTCTTACACAGAAAACATGTGATACTGACACAATTTATACGCTAGATGACTTTAATTTGAAAGATCTATATAAAGCGGAATTGAGAAGAGTTCAAATGTTATCTAATATGTTTTGGGTTAGATGGCGAGAAGAATATATTCAGACACTTCAGACTAGGCGGAAATGGCAGGAAAATAGACCTAATATTCGAACAGGTGATGTCGTTCTGTTAAGAGACAAAGCTGTGTGTAGAAATCAGTGGCCACATGGATTAGTGGAAGAATCTTTAATCAGTTCTGATGGTATTGTCCGCAAAGTCCGTGTGCGCATAATCAGAGAAGGAAAACCGGTTGTATATACCCGTCCAGTCACAGAACTTGTACTATTAGTCTCAGAGTAAAACACTTGTTATCGACTTATGTTAATTGATTGATAGTCATGACAATAATGAACAATTGGGTATTTTTGATGACCTTTGATATTGTAATGTATATATGTTATTTTTTGAAAATCATAAGTTCAGTTATATAATGATATTTGGTATCGGTTGTCCAAGTTGAAGTTTTTGAATAAATGTACAAGGTATATTTTTTTATTCAACAGATGATTAGAAAATGTTGTGTTTGTTGTTTTTACAAAGAGTGATATCTGTGTATATCAGACGGGGAGTGTTCTGTCTCCGGAATTCCGGAATTAATGTTCCATATTTGACTCTATTTTTTGTAACATCACATCACTTCCTGCTTTGTTTTGAAAACATTGTGACAATAATTTCATGTTCTTTCCTCACTGTCTCGTAACGTGGTAAGTTTTTTATATTGATAATATTGTCAAACATATTTTATTCTACCCCCGTTAATGTTTTTTATTTGATATTCCTATTGTAAAGATAATTTTTGAGATACGAGTTGTGTATGAAACTCCCGGTTAAATTTTAAATCTATGGAACGCCATTCGTGACATTTATGTATTCGTCACTACTTGTAGTATGTATGGCACGCCATTTGGGACATTTTTTATTAATATTTTATTTTTGTCATTTTCATTGTATTTTTGAGCAGAGAAACATTTTATGAATGCTTTTATGATGTTTTGATCATATTGTAAAGGTTGTTTATTTTTGTCTTTTCAGTTTTTACCTTATACTAGAATGATGCACTACGCACCCATTTGATGTCTTTTCGGTGCCTTATATGAATAAAGTTGTGCAATTAAAATTCTTGTTGGTTATCTGGTTGTTTATCCTAGAAACAGCACAATTTTTGAAACCAAAAGTAAGCCCTCCAATCCCAGTCCTTTACTTACTTGTTTGGTTTCTTAAATTACGTCTCAAACTTTGAAACAAAAATATCAAGTTAGTAAATAGTTTTAAAAATTACTAAAAAAATCAGTGATTACCTGAAACAATTAGTTAATACATGCCTGTACTCCCTAATTCGACTAACTCTGATCAGATGCGCGTTTTATTTTTTATTAATAATAATTCTTTATTATCATATAAGTAAAATGATATGTGTGACATAAAACAAAAAATAACAACATAAAATTACAGATTTGAACACACACACACACACACATATATATTTTATATATATATATATACAAGGAAACAAAACTAAGAGTCCCCTGTCCTCAGCTCTAAAGACTGTTTTATAAAGGAACCTGTTTTTGTCGCGCCTGCGACTTTTGTCGCAGAAAGCTCGACATAAGGATAGTGATCCTACGGCGGCGGCGGCTGTGTTAGCTTACTTCTTAAAAGCTTCATATTTTGAAAGCTAGAAGACGTTGGTGCTTCATACTTTGTATTTAGATGCCTTATGCTACGATGTTTCCATCTGCCATATGTCCACTGTCCTTGGCCCCATTTTCTTGGTTCAGTGACTACTCGAAAAAAGTTAAGATTTTTTGTAATGTTAATTTCTTTCTTATTATGAGTAATAGGATAACTGTATTTAGTATATGCGTACCTTGCAAGGTCCTGATGCCCGTCAGACAGATTTCATTTGACCTCGACCTCATTTCATGGATCAGTGAACAAAGTTAAGTTTTCGTGGTCAAGTCCATATATCAAATACTATAAGCAGTAGGTCTACTATATTTGGTATATAGAATGATTGTAAGGTGTACATGTCCAACTGGTAGGTGTCATCTGACCCTGACCTTATTTTCATGGTTCAGTGTACAAATTAAAGTTAAGTTTTTGAGTTTTGGTCTTTTTTTTTTCTAATACTATATCCACTAGGTCAACTATCATGACTATGTTTGGTGTATGGAAATATTTTATGATGTACATGTCAGTCTCACAGGTTTTATTTGACCTTGACCTCATTTTCACGGTTGTTTTGGTCTGTTTTTCTTTAACTCACAAAATTGTTCATAAGTGGGGGCCCACTGTCTGCCTAAGAAAGGGTCCGCTTCCATCACGCTTCAGTGATTCCCTATGTAACCAACCAAAATTTTCCCACAAAGGGGGGGGGGGGGGCTGGGCCACTCCCCTAAATCCGCCTCTGACTAAAAGCAATAGATCAACTATATTTGTTGTATGGAAGGATTGAAAGGTGTATATGTCTGTCTGGCAGGTATCATCTGAGCTTGACCTCATTTTCATGGTTCATTAGTCAATGTTAAGTTTTCATGGTTAAGTTTGTTTCTTAAGATACTATAAGCAATAGGTCAACTATATTTAATGCATTGATTGATTGTAAGGTGTACATGTCTGTCTGGCATGGTTTATCTGACATTGACCTCATTTTCATTGTTCATTGGTCAATGTTAAGTTTTTTATAGTAAAGACCGTTTCTTATAAACTATAATCAATAGGTCAACTATGTTTGGTTTATTGAATGATTGTAAGGTGTACATGTACATTGTATTTATCTGACCTTGACGTCATTTTCTCGGATCATGTTAACTTTATGTGTTACTTGTAGTAAAGCTTTATAGTTAGGACTATAAACACAAAATCAATGGTTTGTAAAGAAGGCGAGACATGTCAGCGTGTGCACTCTTGTTTTCACTTGGTTTATATTTGAAGGATTTAGCAGGACTAACAGTTTTTCAGTATCAGACAAATTTGGAAATAAAGGATTATCTATTGCACTGTCATTAAAAAAAATCATACGTAATATATTATCAATTTGACAGTAGAGGAGAAAGTTATTTTCATTTTCTAAGGTTTTGCAAGTTAGACATGTTCTTTTGTCTCGAGGTATTTTCAGATATCTACCCTTGTATATGAGTAAATTATGATCACTTATTCTAATTTTTGTAAATAAACGTCTAGTTTCAAAATTTGGGTTTCTTAGATAGAATTCTTGGTCTTGTTTGGCTTTAAAAAGTTTGCTATTTTCGTTTAAACTGTTTATTTTATTTCCCAGTACATCTGAATAAAAGTTGCTTGAAATATTCTTAATCCAAGTCCTAATATTTTTTACTTGAAATATAATATATGTCAAGTGGTATTTTTAATGAGGAGTTTAGACAAAAGATAAAAACAACATTGCAACGTGACATGAACACATGCTGATGACAATTCTTTTACACTTCTGTAATATAAAGTACACATGAACACATCCTGATGACAATTCTTTTACACATATGTAATATAATGACAATTCCTTTACACATCTGTAATATAAAGTACACATAAACACTTCCTGGTGACTGTTCTTTTATACACCTGGAATATATAGTACACATGAACACATCCTGATGACAATTCTTTTCCAAATCTGTAATATAAACTACACATGAACACATCCTGATGACAATTCTTTTCCACATCTGTAATATCAAGTACACATGAACACATCCTGATGATAATTCTTTTACACATCTGTAATATAAAGTACACACGAACACATCCTGATGACAATTCTTTTACACATCTGTAATATAAAGTACACATGAATACATCCTGATGACAATTGTTTTACACATCTGGAATATAAAGTACACATGAACACTTCCTGATGACAATTCTTTTACACATCTGGAATATAAAGTACACATGAACAGCCTGATGACAATTCTTTTACACATCTGTAATATAAAGTACACATGAACACATCCTGATGACAATTCTTTTACACACCTGGAATATAAAGTACACATGAACACATCCTGATGACGATTCTTTTACACATCTGTAATATAAGGTACACATGAACACACCCTGATGATAATTCTTTTACACATCTGGAATATAAAGTACACTTGAACACATCCTGATGACAATTCTTTTACACATCTGGAATATAAAGTACACATGAACACACCCTGATGATAATTCTTTTACACATCTGGAATAAAAAGTACACATGAACACTTCCTGATGACAATTCTTTTACACATCTGGAATATAAAGTACACATGAACACAGCCTGATGACAATTCTTTTACACATCTGTAATATAAAGTACACATGAACACATCCTGATGACAATTCTTTTACACATCTGGAATATAAAGTAAACACGAACACAGCCTGATGACAATTCTTTTACACATCTGGAATATAAAGTACACATGAACACATCCTGATGACAATTCTTTTACACATCTGGAATATAAAAATCACATGAACACAGCCTGATGACAATTCTTTTACACATCTGTAATATAAAGTACACATGAACACACCCTGATGATAATTCTTAAACACATCTGGAATATAAGTACACATGAACACACCCTGATGATAATTCTTTTACACATCTGGAATATAAACTACACATGAACACATCCTGATGACAATTCTTTTACACATCTGGAATATAAAGTACACATGAACACATCCTGATGACAATTCTTTTACACATCTGTAATATAAAGTACACATGAATACTTCCTGATGACAATTCTTTTACACATCTGTAATATAAAATACACATGAACACATCCTGATGACAATTCTTTTACACATCTGTAATATAAAGTACACGTGAACAAAGCCTGATGACAATTCTTTTACGCATCTGTAACATAAAGTACACATGAACACTTCCTGATGACAATTCTTTTTCACATCTGGAATATAAAGTACATATGAACACATCCTGATGACAATTCTTTTACACATCTGTAATATAAAGTGCACATGAACACATCCTGATGACAATTCTTTTACACATCTGTAATATAAAGTACACATGAACACACCCTGATGACAATTCTTTTACACATCTGTAATATAAAGTACACATGAACACACCCTGATGTTAATTCTTTTACACATCTGGAATATAAAGTACACATGAACACATCCTGATGACAATTCTTTTACACATCGGTAATATAAAGTACACATGAACACATCCTGATGACAATTCTTATACACATCTGTAATATAAAGTACACATGAACACACCCTGATGACAATTGTTTTACACATCTGGAATATAAAGTACACATGAACACATCCTGATGACAATTCTTTTACACATCTGTAATATAAAGTACACATGAACACATCCTGATGACAATTCTTTTACACATCTGTAATATAAAGTACACATGAACACATCCTGATGACAAATCTTTTACACATCTGGAATATAAAGTACACATGAACACATCATGATGCCAATTCTTTTACACATCTGGAATTTATACATTTAGCTTTATTAGTTACAGATTATGTATGGATTTGGAAAATTGAGTATGCTACTTTGCTAAAATCTCATCGAAACGGTCAGTGGCAGTCAGAAATTACATAGACATGCCAGTCAGAACTTACTGCGAAAGTGAACACATATAAAAGTGGTGTAAGTGTGTAATGTTCCAATACCAGTCAGAACTTACAGGGACAAGTGAACACACATAAAATCAGTGGATAACAGACAGAACTCTTGAGATTGATTGATTGATTGTTGGTTTCTAAACGTCCAGTGGCACATATTTCATGTATCTTTAGGACGGGAAGTTAAAAATGTGAACACATATGAATATGGTGTAGGTGTTCAATTGGTCACTGACCGTTACAACTTACACAGACATGTGAACACTCGGAACTTACAGACATGAGAACAGTCAAAACCTACTGGCATGTAGAACTCATAGAGAAACATGAGAATAGTCAAAACCTACTGGCAGGTAGAAGTCGTAGAGAGACATGTGGACACATTCTGGTGATAAACATAGTTAACGAGGTGTAAGCTTAAGTGGTCAATGTTTTACTGACAGCTCGAACTTACAGAAAGACATGTTTGTGATAAAC